ATGATTGGAAGTCAATATGATTGAGTCCAACATTCGTAATTTGGAATTATGAATGAGAATAAGAAAAGGAAAAGAATAGGCGAACGTATTAGTGAACTTTCTAAATCGGGAAGTTTCCAAATTTAGAAAGTCCACTGAACTAGGGTTTCCACTTTTGGAAAGTTGAAAATAAGAGGTGGCACTCGTAATGACGAGGAAGTTATAATGATTCCGAAAATGTAATCGTTGCAATTTTTCGGTCATTGAATTGAGAGATACGAGCAAGTAAAGGAACTAACGAGCTTAAGCTGTTGGGCCCAGTCCAACTTAAGCCCGCTAGGGTTTTATGCAAGGGACTATAAATACATGATTTATAGCCCTTGCACATAACAACAACAAAAACCCTAACCCTAGCGGCCGTCCCCTCTCTCTCTCGCCCCCTCTCCCGCGCGGCCACCTCCGCCGTTGGCGCCGCCCCGTCGCCGGAATCGGCCATCCCTTGGCCGATCCATTTCGGTATTCTTTTCTCCTTTCTTTTTCTTCCGTTAATTCTAACTACTTCGTGTCTAGTGCCACGTTTTAGTAGATCGAAGTATACGAGGTGAAATCCGAGAGGAGGAAGACCGTAGATCGAAGAATCGAGGAGCAACGCACGAGCCGAAGCCGCACGCTGCCCCACGCGCCGCCTCGGAGCCGCGCGTATATCACACGCGCCGCTGCTGCCGTTGCACCGCTGCTGCCCCGATTCCACGGATTGGTTTCCGTGGTAATCACGACGTATTAATCGCCCCTACCTCACGCTTCAAGAGGTAAACACACGAAACCCTAGTTTCGTTTTGAGTTTCGTTTAATCTATGATTTCATGTTTTGCTTTGTATGATTTTATGTGATTATGTGTAATCGATTAAATCATTGCAAGCATGTTATTTGGTTTAAACGCGAGCATGCTAATTGTTTTTAATTCGGCTGAAATTATTAGTATGTAAATTGTTTTTAATTTCGCTGGAAGCGCAAAGGTACGCAATTAATTGAATTTAATTTATCGGGCATGTTCTTATGTGCTTTAAAGTCGTTTAAATCGCATAAAATTTTCGTTTTCCGCTGCGTACGCGTGCCCGAAACCCAACAGTGGTATCAGAGCTCGTTGCGCAATTAATTGCGTTCGTATTTGTATGCTATGATTTTATGCATGTTCGATTTATTAAAGTAGCGATTGTCGTATTATGTAATTGGGAGTTTTCGTAAGTTTAAAATATTTTTGAAATATTGTTTAGAATTTTTCCAGCTTTAAAATTGTTTAAAATTGGAAAATCGGATCTGAAATTGTTTTTGAAATGTCATTTTTTTTTAAATGTTCGGATCGAACCGGTCGAACCGGCCGGTTCGATGGTTGTGAACGATTTAGTTGACCGAATCCAAGTGGATTCGGGTCGGTCAGACCGGTTCTCGGTCCGACTGACCCGGCCCACTGATTTGGGTCAGCTGGACCGGGCAGAACCGGACCGCTTCGGTCCGAACCGGTCAGACCGGTTGGGCCGAACCGGTCCACTGAAAATAATAAATAAAAAAAAAAAAAAAAAAAAAAATTATTTCAGATTTCTAAAATTAAACTTAAAACAAATTGATTTTAATTTTTGGAAAATTATTTTCAATTAATCCCAATTAGATAATTGGATCGACAATCATCTATTTTAGTAAATAGGTGTTAGATTAATTAATTAATTTAAATTGTTAAATTGATTTCAATTAATAGAACACATATATAATATTGATTATAGTTCAACTTAATTACTAGTACCTCAACATTATTTGAATGATTTATGTTAGTTGAGGTTCTATAATTATTTTGAAAACCCGATAATTAATTAATGTAATTAATTATGAAATTAGGTCGTATGTTCCTCTTAGGACAATATGCGCTTCCATATACCTTTAGAGAACATAGATGTAGGAATCACATAGACCAATCCAAAACCTTCTGATGAGATAAAACTTTTAAATAAAATCCCTCATTCTTAATTCAATTAAGAATCATTTCAAGCTATAAAGAAATACCCAATCTGTTGAGTTATTTCTTTCCTTCTGCCAACGGTAGGATTATGTGTAGCCCTTTACTATAGTGCAGTAAGCCGTGTTAGCGGGGAGTGCTATGGTGGAGTAAGCTGTAATTCAATTGACATAACGATGAAGGTAGCCATAGAAAAGGGTTATTGTTGGGTGCTAAATACCTAACACGCAAGTGCACGTATCGCAAACAAGTAGTAAAAGTGGACTCGTGAGAGTCGGATGTCGATCCCACAGGGAATACTCAAATTATCTAATCCTAAGTACCAAATTCTAACAACTATGATTTTTATCCAGCCTACGCAAGTTTGTCAAATTAAATCAATTAAACAACTAAACTAATTAAGAAAGCAAAGAATCACGAGAAAATATCAATATAAAACGGATCTAGGATTTTATCTTCCCCCTATGCAAGAATTGCTCACCCAAAACCCCTCAATTATGAAATATATGATTCATGATTATTAACCCGAGACACTAATTTACTCATAACCCGCTGCCGCGTGTATTATGAGTCTTCTATTCATAAACGATTCACTATATGTCTATGCAAACCAATTATAAATAAAGCATTAACTAACAAGTCTCGTAAATGGCTACCTAAGGTGATATCTGTATGTCTACGACACCACATGCAATTGACACACTCATCCGGTGAAAACTACTCGAAGGCTCTTCTACTTACCGTCTAATTATCAAAATAGCTCTGTCGAGTCAATCCCAATAATCACAAATAAAGCACATAAATTGATCAGGTTCATGCACTAAAAATCATAACAAGTAGAAGAAATAATCATAAAATCATAATTGCATAATCTCAAGAAAACGGGTTCACCATCCCCACATAGGGTTCCAACAAAATCCTAGATTAAAAACTTAGCTACGCATGTTCTCTACGAAAAACGTCATAAAAACGTAAAAAGAAATAGGTTAAGAAAAGATAGATAAAAGAAGAATTGTGATGAAGATTTGTCAATTCTCCGTCTTCGATTCTTCGTTCTCTCGCTCCTCTCGCTCCAAGGTTGTGTCAAAAGTTCACTAATTCGTGCTTGGTTTGGGCTTATATAGATGTCCCAACTTGGTAGATGATTTTAGGTTTCCTTGTGTGATTAAAAGTCCAAAATTATCTCCCGCGGGTGTTGGCACGGCCGCGCGAAAATCAGTGCAATTCTCGCACGGCCGCGCGAGAATCGCCGAACCTTCTGTCCAAATTCAGCATTTGGCACGGCCGTGCCAAAAATAGGATAATTTTGGCACGGCCGTGCGGGCCTGTTTTCAGCCAATTTCAGCATATTTTTGATTATTTCACTTTTGGCCCATATTTTCTCCAAATTTGCAGTTTTGACCCCAAACTTTTCCAATTCTTCAATTTATACCTAAAATACAATAAATCAACTTTTTAAGCACCAATTATCGTTAAATTACACCAAAAGCTCAAATAAAAAGGTACAATAAAGTATAAAAATATATACTTAACACACCCCCAAACTTGATCTTTTGTTTGTCCTCAAGCAAAAACTAGCAACTATCACAGCAACACTCTCAACAAATGCCTCTCATCACATAGATTAATGGTCAACTTTCATTTTTTCAGAACTTGCAATTATCATGACAATTCTCAAAAATTTACAAGCTCGTAATTCAAAGATACGTATTCACTCATCATTGCTAAAAACCACAAACCATGCTATCGCTTCAAGTATCCCATATTTGTACATTAAAAATTGAGAAAATTTATACTTACATATTAATATTCAACTCCAAATACTCACCAAATTTCTTTACTCGGCTAGTATCAAATAATTGAGCTATTGGGATCATTGGGACTTTTTGGCTTTCAAATGTTGGGCTTTTTGGTTCGAGGTAGGAGATATGGGTATATGTGGCTATACTTCTTGAATTGAGGTGATTACGCCAAAGTTTGAAAGATAGGCGTTTGAAACAATGAATTCACCTCTAAGGACATTAATACACTCGATTCTTAAGAGTTCAAAAGTATCCACTTTTGCTCTTAAGACAATGGATCGAGCTTTCAAAACAATTCAACAACTAGTCCTTACTTCCCCTTCTAGTCTCTTCTTCTTCTTTTTCTTTCTCTTTTTTTTTTATTATTTTTTTTTTATATTTTTTTTTTCTTTTCTTTTTTTTTTTCTTTCTTTTTTTTTTTTTTTTTTTTTTTTTTTCGAAGAAGAAGATGGACCTTATAAAAAAAATTCGACCGAACTCCAAGGGTTAATTTTTCAAAAATCTCCACTTATTCTACCTTATACACATTGGCTAAAAGAAAGAACACCGTTTCTCCAAGGCTCAATCAAGGTTCGAATGGTAAAAATTTAAAGGTAGGCTTGAAAGGCTCAAACGGTTCAAAGATGGCCCAAATCACTTCCCAATTTACTCAACAATTTAATATTTCACTTTGTAAATTCATAAGACAAGTTCTAAAACCGAATAGCATATGATATAACATAAATTAACTCAAATTTTAAAACACAAAACTTTCAACCAAAGCAACGCATAATTCGAGATTCCTAACAATGACTCCTTCTTACGACACTTTGAATCAAAAGCTCACCAAAATTCGATCAAAATCAAGATAAAACAAGCAATTTCATCATTAAACATTGACCATCTTTCATCATCATGATTCATCGAAGCATTTATCTCAAGCAAATTTTTTTTTTTCTTTTTTTTTTAAAAGCAATAAATAAACTAAAACAACTAAAATAATAAAAAAATATCCTAAGGCATGCAAACTAAAAAATTAAAGCACATAAACAAGTAATTATCCACCCCCAAACTTAAAATTTACATTGCCCTCAATGTAATTAACACGAAGTTTAAGGATAGAATACACCTGAAAAAGTCGTTTTGGCCATGTCCGGGCTGCTCTTCCACCCTCGCCTTTATTATGCTTCAGTTGAGGTTCGCACGGCCGTATGAGATTTTGAACTGTTTTCCGCACGGCCGTGCGAAACTTGAATTCTGGGCAGTAGCCTATTGTTTCTCGGACGGCCGTGCGAGAATTCAGTGTAAATTCCGCACGGCCGCGCCCCTTCTCAATTTTGGGCAGTAGCCTCTCCGATTTTCCACACGGCCGTGCTGGATTCAAGCCTTTTTTGGTGCGGCCGTGTGAAGTGCAAAATTGCACTTTGACCCCTGAAAAAAAAAATTGCTTATTTAATTAGCTTGCATGCTTATAAAATAAATAAATAAAATAAAACAAGAAACATAAATAATAAAAACAAAAAAAAAAAAAAAAACGAAAATCTCGGGTTGCCTCCCGAGAAGCGCTAAGTTTATAGTCTTCAGCTAGACTTTGTTCCTTCTTTTCAATTCCTTAGCTTTTGAACCCATCTCCTAACTTCCTTTTGGAGAAAGTCTTGAATAAATGGGTTGATCCGATTCTTCTTTCGACAGGTTAACTTAGGAATGCCCTTTAATTTATTCTTCTTGATGTCATGAGGCGTGCCAACATCGTCTTTTATCACAGTGTTTTGAGTAGGTGTTGTAACCAACTCAACCTTTTTCTTTTGTTCTCCTACATGCACATTAGTATCCACAAAAAAATTTAAATCATGTAATTTAACAGGAAAAAGTTTAGAATCACTTACCTCATCAAGAAGATAACATCCATTAGCCGTAATAGGCTTTTCATCCACCCGGTACACCTTGAAGATCACTGTTTCTTCCCCCACACTCATTCTTAGCTCTCTCTTTCCTACATCAATAATTGATCTACCGGTTGCTAAGAAGGGGCGTCCTAAGATAAGGGGAATATTTTCATCTTCCTCTATGTCTAGTACTAGAAAATCGGCCGGGAGTATGAACTTATCTACCTTGACCAACACATCCTCCACTATACCTAAAGGGTGAGTAAAAGATCTATCGGCAAGCTCCAAGGTCACGGAAGTAGGCTTAATTTCTCCTAAATTCAATTTCTCATAAATTGATAAAGGCATTAAATTTACGCTCGCCCCTTGATCACACAACGCCCGCCCAAAATACCTAGTACCTATTGTGCATGGAATGGTACAACTGCCCGGATCTCTAAGCATCGGTGGAATTTTATTTGCAAGGATAGCACTACTTTGCTCATTGAGGTCTATGATTGCTGCACACTCCGGAAGCCTCATCTTCTTCGATACAAGTTCCTTTATAAACTTAACCCAATTCGGCATATGCTTAAGTGCCTCAACAAAAGGAATATTAACATGCAATTTTTTAAGATAATCCAAAAAATACTGAAATTGCATATCAAGCTTAGAGTTTTGAAAACGTTGAGGGAAAGGTACCTTGGGAGTAGGTTCACTTACTGTGATCTTTGTGTTGCTTGGCCCGACCTCGGTTTTTTCCTTGGGCTCCTCTACAATAGGCGGTGGTGCAACGCACTTCTTAGGACCTTCCTCTAATTGCCTCCCATTGCGCAAACTTACTGCATTGCACTGTTCGATGTTGCTCTTTCGAGGATCTTCCGTATTCGACGGCAGTGCTCCCGACGGCCTCGCGTTTAGCTGGGTTGCAAGTTGACCCATTTGTGTCTCCAAATTTCGAATGGAAGCTTGAGTGGATGTCATGAATTGAGCTAAGATGTTTGCGAGATCTCCACCTTGAGGTGGAGCTTGAGGCGGATTTTGGAATCCCGGAGCTGGCCTTTGTCCTTGCTGATTTCCTCCCCATCCAAAGTTGGGGTGATCTTTCCATCCCGGATTATAAGTGTTGGAGTACGGGTTCCTTTGTTGTCGATTAGTGTCATGCACATAATTTAGAGACTCCGTTTCTTCTACGCACTGGTTGGGAACTTGGACTGCATGGACTTGTTGAGTTTGCAATGCTGCTACTTGCTTTGATAGCTTCTCTAATTGGGCAGTGATTGCGGTGACCCCGTCTAACTCCAAAATTCCTCCCGTCTTTATGGCTCCGCTATTTGACCGGTCCGATGCCCGCATGTATTTATTCCTAGCGATTCGCTCCAAAAGTTCGTATGCTTCGTCATAGGTCAAGCTCATGAACATACCGCCAGCTGCTGAATCAAGCACCGTTCTCGAATTATCTTGCAACCCGTCATAAAATATTTGAAGTTGCCGCCACTCTTGAAGACCATGATTGGGGCATCTCCGAATTAATTGTTTGAACCGCTCCCACGTCTCGAATAACCCTTCACCGGCATCTTGTATGAAATTTTGTATTTCTCTCCGGATTCTCTCAGTTTTTGTTGGGGAGTTGTATGTGTTCATGAAGAGTTGTGCTAGTTGGGACCAAGATGAGATGGAGTGTGGTGCACGAATTTGTAACCATTCTCGGGCTGCCCCTTGTAAATAGTGCTTGAACAGGCGGAGTTGCAGTGCTTCGGGTGATACTCCGTTCATCTTGTGCGAATCACATGTTTCGAGGAAGTTGACCAAGTGGAGATGCGGATCTTCATGAGCTAATCCGCTGAATAACCCATTGTTTTGGAGCATAGTAAGGAGTCCCGCTCGAATTTCGAAATTGTTGGCTTCAATGGGGGGCTGCTGGATGCTCGATTGAAACCCATTGAGTGTTGGAACGGTGTACTCATGCAATGCTCGTTGACGAGGTGGTGGATTAATTAGCAGAAGTTGCTCTTGCTCGTTGACGATATTTCCTGCTGCATTCGGTAGGCGCCCTTGGTCATCTCCCCTACGATTATTCTCTTCTTCCATTCGCATAAAAAAATACCTAAACAAAAATAATAAAAATAAAATAAGCAAAGAAAATAATTAAATAAAATAAATAAAATGGCTGAGGTAAGAAAAATTGCTCAAATTTAATATTAGGATAAATAGATAATTTAGCCGTATTCCCCGGCAACGGCGCCAAAAACTTGTTGGGTGCTAAATACCTAACACGCAAGTGCACGTATCGCAAACAAGTAGTAAAAGTGGACTCGTGAGAGTCGGATGTCGATCCCACAGGGAATACTCAAATTATCTAATCCTAAGTACCAAATTCTAACAACTATGATTTTTATCCAGCCTACGCAAGTTTGTCAAATTAAATCAATTAAACAACTAAACTAATTAAGAAAGCAAAGAATCACGAGAAAATATCAATATAAAACGGATCTAGGATTTTATCTTCCCCCTATGCAAGAATTGCTCACCCAAAACCCCTCAATTATGAAATATATGATTCATGATTATTAACCCGAGACACTAATTTACTCATAACCCGCTGTCGCGTGTATTATGAGTCTTCTATTCATAAATGATTCACTATATGTCTATGCAAACCAATTATAAATAAAGCATTAACTAACAAGTCTCGTAAATGGCTACCTAAGGTGATATCTGTATGTCTACGACACCACATGCAATTGACACACTCATCCGGTGAAAACTACTCGAAGGCTCTTCTACTTACCGTCTAATTATCAAAATAGCTCTGTCGAGTCAATCCCAATAATCACAAATAAAGCACATAAATTGATCAGGTTCATGCACTAAAAATCATAACAAGTAGAAGAAATAATCATAAAATCATAATTGCATAATCTCAAGAAAACGGGTTCACCATCCCCACATAGGGTTCCAACAAAATCCTAGATTAAAAACTTAGCTACGCATGTTCTCTACGAAAAACGTCATAAAAACGTAAAAAGAAATAGGTTAAGAAAAGATAGATAAAAGAAGAATTGTGATGAAGATTTGTCAATTCTCCGTCTTCGATTCTTCGTTCTCTCGCTCCTCTCGCTCCAAGGTTGTGTCAAAAGTTCACTAATTCGTGCTTGGTTTGGGCTTATATAGATGTCCCAACTTGGTAGATGATTTTAGGTTTCCTTGTGTGATTAAAAGTCCAAAATTATCTCCCGCGGGTGTTGGCACGGCCGCGCGAAAATCAGTGCAATTCTCGCACGGCCGCGCGAGAATCGCCGAACCTTCTGTCCAAATTCAGCATTTGGCACGGCCGTGCCAAAAATAGGCTAATTTTGGCACGGCCGTGCGGGCCTGTTTTCAGCCAATTTCAGCATATTTTTGATTATTTCACTTTTGGCCCATATTTTCTCCAAATTTGTAGTTTTGACCCCAAACTTTTCCAATTCTTCAATTTATACCTAAAATACAATAAATCAACTTTTTAAGCACCAATTATCGTTAAATCACACCAAAAGCTCAAATAAAAAGGTACAATAAAGTATAAAAATATATACTTAACAGTTATGTTGGATTAACGTGGTCGGCTAGATTAACTAGGGACTGCATTAGTTTGGCCTAATCAAGTTCTATGAGCATCTTTGATTGGTAGGTTAGACTTGACACACGACGATTTTGATATTCGCGAGATTAACTTAGGTCATTATCAAGTGTGAGGAAATTTAATTTAGGGTCATATTGTGGATATGATTGATTGTGATCTACCTTTGGGCAAATATAATCGGGCTAGATTAACTACGGGTTATATTTGTCTATTGGACCTAAAGCCCATTAAGAAAAATCAGTTTTCTCGTTTGTCTACTAGAGGGAAGTGGAACTCGATAAAATTAGTGGGAGAACAATTAAATAACACAAGTCCAAACATTTAATTGTAACAATCATTTAAACGCGAATCTCTAATAATCCTCTTCTCTATATGTCTCAGATAAACATGTCTAAGAATCCCATAATGTCAATCCTCGACAATAAACTCAATGGCCCTAATTACCTAGATTGGTTGCGTAGTCTCAAGCTTGTGCTAACTGTTGAGGGGCGTCTCTATGTTTTGAACGAGAGACTTCCCGCCACAATACCTGCCACAGCGACTGATGCTGAAAAGGAAACTTATGAAGTTTGGAAGAAAGATGACACTCATGCTAGGTGCTATATGATAGCCGCCATGGAGCCCGCGCTTGCGAGGAAATATGAGTCTCACTTGCATGCTTTCGATATAAAGGCTCATCTCGATAGCATGTATAGTGAGAATATTAGGGCATCGAGGTACGCTGCTACAAAGGAGTTGATCACAGCGAGACTGCGCGAAGGGACTTCGGTCCACGAGCACTGTCTCAAAATGATCACTCTCCTTGAAAAGCTAGTGAATCTTGATGTCACCCTCCCGGCCGAGCTCTCGTTGGATTTGATCCTGTTGTCTCTTCCTAGTTCCTATGAATCGTTCATAGTGAACTTCAACATGAACAAACTAGATCCTCCCTTGGATGAGTTAATGAACATGTTGGTCAGCTTCGAGTCCACCATTAAGAAAGAGAAGTCTGTTCTCGTTGCTGCTACT